ATTTATTGCTCTTCCAATTCCGATAATCCGCTTTCCAATTCATGGTGCTCCCTCCGGAAGAAGGAATCTGTTACTTTTCGCAAATTGCGCGTTCGTCCGGAAGAAAGGGACTCTGCTGGACATCGGACGTCACACCTCACTGGCTCCTCTTATTTTCTAAGGATTTGCCGGATTGATTTCGAGGATTTGCTCCATACACTCCGGCTATTTATTATAAATGGAATCATCTTGTGGATTACCGAGAAAAGGCAGCTATTTACTATCTTGACCAACAGGGCTGCGTTCGTGAATTGTTACAGGGTGTGCTTTGTTGTTGTTACGTAACCGTCAGGAACCCAAATAAGTTCGTGCGGTCGCTGTATATCGCACATTGCCATGGATTTTTATCGCTGTCGCAATGGCAAACACTAAAAAACTTCTGGTAATAATTAAACAATTTCCAATTCTCTATGACGTAAACAACGGAGACTAAAAATGTTCGAAAAAAAGACAATCTGGGATGAGATAGGAGTGGATTTGAATGACACCGATAAGTTACTCTTTACTGAGAAATTATTATAATATTTATGAATGGCTTAGATAAGCTGATCTTGACCAACAATATTAGGAGTTGAAGTAGTCAACAAATTTTTATCGTGTAGAAAATGCCAGATTCGTTGCACGTCTTGGATCATTTTCGATGTTGGTAAAGGCTTGTGATGGATCTGGATCTTCGTCTAGAAGGTGTACATACTGCTCGTCACATTGCTTACCGCGTAAAAAATTATGCAGAACGCATGTAGTTTTTACTTTTAAAATTGTTGTACCTGTTTTCGTTTCCATGGGCCTATAAAAAATTCTCCACCCTTGACTTCCCAAAAGCATTTTCGATTACTCTCCGCGCCCTGCACAGCCCAGTATTGTATTTTTCTTTTCTAGCGTCTGCTTTCGACTGTCTATATGGAAACGGTGTCATTAGGTAGGGTTTAAGGGCAAATCCTTCATCTCCAATTAAAACATGAGGGCATGGTTCCCTCTGTCTAGGTAGAGGCTTATCTTCTGGACTGTGCATCAACCCAGCTTCAAATCGTTGTCCCATGGTAGAAGCCTACTCCGTTCTTCCTCCGCCAAAGCAAGATATAGAATTGCTTCTTCTTCATCTGAAGAGAACAAAATGTTTTAATTCGATTTTCAAGCTACACTCTCACACCGTTCACTGCCAATCCACTGCGATCCTTTCGCTTCGATATGGAAGTCCCTCAGATGTTCGCAGCGAATCTCGCGAGAATTATATCGCTACGAATATCGCAGCGGATTAATCGCGTTGGTTTGGGGGATCCTTTAATCGGTTATTAACCTGCGACGAAAAATGGATCTTGTATGCGAATTCTAAGCGTTCGTATCATTGGTTGTCGCCTACTGATTCGATACCACACACGCTCAAGGCTTCCTTGCACCCAAACAAGGTTTTGTTGTATGTTTGGAGGACAGCAACTGGAATTGTCTACTATAAGATTTTGGAAAGGGGTCAAGCCATCACTACCAACTTGTATTGTGAGCAGCTTCAACGAGTACAAGCAGCACTCTTCCAGAAACAGCCTTCTTTGATCAATCAGAAGAAAGTGATATACTTGCAGGATGACGCCAAGCGTCATACCGCAAAAGTGACCCGAGGAAAAATTTCTGAACTCGACTGGGAAACGTTTCCGCACCCACCATATTCTCTCAACATTTCGCCCAGTGATTATCACCTTTTTTTGTCTCTTGACAACTGTATGAGGCACCGACAGTTCACAACTCGAGATGGTGAAATAAATGTAGTCCGCTAATTTTTTTACTCCAAATCCACTGAGTTCTGCAATACCTGCATACAAAAATTGGTTCCACGTTGACAAAGGGTCATTGAATGTGATGGTAAGTACTTCGACGAATAAATAGTGTCTTATTGTTTATCAATAAAAATTTATCTTTTTCTACTAGAAACCTTACGAACTTTTTGATAGTTTAAAAAAGTTATGAAAAAATAGTAATTTCCGAAACAAACCTTTCCCCGTATTCCCTGTGTGGTCGAGGGATATGCAATTGAGTGGAGACTTTTTCCTCGAAAACCAAGCAAGAAACGAAAAAAATTCAAGAGACAGAAAAGTTGTACAGGGTGGCCGATATAATAATAATAATACTAACAATAACATGCCTTTATTCGATCCTTTCACAAATGCATATTTTGGGTAAGGTGAAGTACTAAAAATTTTAAATTAAAGAATCGAAATGGCGGAGTGTTACCTTAGAGTATTTTTCAACTCAGCCGTAAAATAAAATTACAAACATGAACAAGAAAAGTATCATAAAATAGTGAATACCATACATGTGATTTGTGATAATTGCCTAATGAAGTTTAAGTCTATACAGTGTGGCGCATAGAAAACGAAACAGGCGCATTTACTGGCAGCTCAGTTTTTTTTTGGAAAAACGCTCAGACCCGTCGATTTTGTTTTCGAGGGGGACACAAGTTTGGCAAAAAATCACGTTAACACGTGCAGCCCCCTGGGCGGGGGTGACACCAACCCTAAAATCTTAAATGGAAAGGGGGGTCCAGTGATACCTTATTTTAAAGGTCTTTCAATTCCCTTTATCATGATGTAAAATACATGAGCTTCAGTTCAGTAGTTTTGAAGTTTTATTGATTTAAAGCTTAAAGTAGACTTTAATAGGTACATCAGATTAGTTTGTACTACTTTCAGAAGAAATTTGACTAAAAGAATTTACTTAATAAGTAAATGCTCTTCTTCACTACGCCCATGGTTTGTTTATCATTTTGTTGTTGAAAATAGGTATTGGAGGGTTTTTTTGTGGCAAAAAAGTTATTTCTTGAAGAAAGATAAGGAAATATCTCGTACTTATTTTAAATAGGAATTTAGTACATAGTTTGCGATTGATTTGACCAAACTTTGTTGCAAAAATAATTTGTAACGGTTTATTACATAAATTAACCATGGTATATTCCACAGCCGAAAGAGTTGAAATTATCAAAATATTTTTCGGAAATAATCAGTGCGCTAATTGAACAGCAGAAATATTTAATGAGCGACATAAGAACAGTAACGTGCATCGAAAATATGAACTAGAACTTGTAGCTAAATTTCGGGAAACTGGGTCAGTCGCCAATAAAAAATGCAACATTGAAAATTCCATAAGGAACGAAGCAATAGAAGTGTGAGTTTTAGGGCAAGTTTATGTAGATCCTTTTCCTTAAATGGCGTAGTAAATTTATATATAAATTTATCATGAGGTTCATACACAGCAGCCTCAAAAATTAAATGTTTGGGCTGGTATTTTTGGCTATCAATTTGTTGGTCCTTTTTTCTTACTTGGAAATTTGACCGGTGAAATATATTTGGAATTACTGGAAGACACCATAGATCCTGCATTAACAGCCATAATTGAAAATCAGAATGATCGGCGGTACATTGCGAATAGGTTGATGTTCCAACAGGATGGTGCCCCACCACATTACGCATTACGTGTTCGACAATATTTAGATCAGACGTTTCCAAATCGATGGATTGGTAGAAGAGGTGCCATTGAATGGCCCCCAAGATCGCCAGATTTATCACCTTTGGATTTCTTTATGTGGGGTTATTTAAAAACCAAAATCTAAGCTACTCATCCAACATTATTAGAAGATCTGCGACAAAGAATTATGAATCAGTACCTTCAAATTACTCCTCAAATATTGCAAAATGTGCGGCAACGTTTTGAGCAAAATCTTTATTATTGCATGGATAATCATGGTGGCCATTTTCAACATTCACTTGCCTAACGGGTCAGTTCATTCTTCATTTTTAAATTACTTTGCTGCCAAATGTATTGATCTCCACTAAATCAATAAATCTTCAAAACTACTAAACTGAAGTACGTTAATTTTATATCATTATAAAGGGAATTGAAAGACCTTTAACATAAGGTATCACTCGACCCCCCTTTCCATTTAAGAGTGCTCCGGCCCAGCAAGTCTAGTACCGACAACGGTACAACAGGTGGGATCCTCGTAGTGAAATTCTTCAGTACCAAAGTCAGTGGATGTCTGAGATGGGTTCTTTCAATCCGGAGCTGGTATTTAATAAAAAGCGACCATACGTAATCAGCAAAAAAAAAATTATGGCTATGATGGACGGTCATTGTGCGTACCCGAGCTGTCTGCTTTCGCTCTTGACAGCCATGAAATTACAATGTTCACTTCTAAATCGATCGGACGACGAGTTATACGGTGTGTTACGAGCTGCCGCCTTGGATTGCGGGGCTCGCTAAGCTCTAGTCTAGTCGGCAGGTGTTTTAAGCAATAAAGTCTAAGAATATGTTTAGCTGGAATTCCGTTAGAGCAGAGTTCCCCAAACTTTTTTGTGTCGTACACCCCTTGCCATGTTTTTCCGTGTTGGGTAGACCCCCTACTTACCTGATATTGATTTCCTGTAAATTTTTAACTGTAGTGAAGTTTAGTGTTAAAAACTTAAAGTAAAAACACATGTTAATTTATACATTTATTAATTTAATTTAAATTAAAACTACTCAAATATATGCGTATCTGTTATGTAAAATATGCGTAAATAAACAGGTGTCTGACCAATAAGTGCCCGCATTGGAAATAAGTGCCCGCATTGAAAAAAAATAACAGGGATAAAATAAAAAAAAGTGAAAAATAATAAAAAAAAAGTTTTTTACTTAAAATAGTACAATAAGCGAGTTCGTTTATTAATTATAACATAAACATATATTCTACAATAATTTCACTGTTAGTTTGATTAAATTCCGCTTCTTATACGTTTAAGTTATCTAAAAATAGGCAACAAATTAGCGAATTTTAGTGTGTACCTATCCTTGAATTTTCAGAATAATTTAAAAAAAATATTTTCTATAAAGGGTTGTTCTTTAAAAAAATCAATGCGAGCACTTATTCCCAGTGCGGGCATTTATTGGTCAGACGCCAATAAACATAAAATAAACTATAAATAAAATAACATAAGCAATAAGTCAATATTTTTAGTGAGAAGGATGAACCTGATGCTTTAATAATAAATTACCAACATTTGGCGTCAATTTTGTAAGGGTTAATCTTAAATCCCCTCGGCTAATGATGTCCAGTCTGTTTCTTTTTATCGTTAGGAGATTGGTAACAGCGCTGAACCCCCTTTCCATTAGGTATGACGATGGAAACGAATTTAAAAATTTCCGCGCTATATTCCATAATACGGGATTAAGTAACGGGTATGTTGTTTTGCAGCCAGAATTGCTGATATCCGTTTTTAAACTGAACCTTAAGTTCTTCGTTTGTACTTAGTTCAGTCAGTTCCTCTTGTATTATGACATTCGTTTCTTCTATGTCACCATATGGATTAATTATCCACGGCAATATTACCATAGTCAAAATATCCTCAAACCCAGATTCAAAATCTGAATAGAGGGCATTTAAATGTTGTACGTAAGTTGAAACGTCGTCTTCCTGGCAGCTTGTCTGTGACAAATTGGGGAACTGAGAAAATTCGCTCCGTCCAATATTTTGCTTCATTAGTTTAACTCTGACAAGAAACGCTGATAAGATGGACTTTGTTTTAATCAAATTTAAACTGTCACCTTGTAATTGCAAATTAACCATATTAAATTTTGTAAACAAATAGGTTAAATAGGCGATGTCTGTTTTCCTCTTCATTAAATTTTCTTTTAAAGTTTTATCTTTAGTATCCAGAAATTCTAAAATAGTCTCAAAAAGTGCAAAAAATCTTGTCAAACATAAGCCTTTCGACAGCCAGCGTACTTCAGTGTGAAGGAGTAATTGATGAAGGTGTTCGTCATTTTCTTCACACAACTGCGCAAATAACCGCGTATTCAACGCGTTGCTTCGGATTCGGTTTACTGCATCAATGACTAAATGAAGTGATTCATGCAATCTAACACTCAAATTTAAAGCAACTAAATGTTGTCGATGGATGACGCAATGTATTGCTAACACCCCTGACACATTTTGTTTTAAATAGCTTATAAATCCACGCTAACGTTCAACCATGGCAGGTGCTCCATCTGTAGCTACTGATATTATATTTGATAAAGGAATTGCTTTTTCAATGAAGTAATCCTTTAAAACATGAAATATTGATTCACCTTTAGTGTCGGTTATCAAAGTTCTTGCGAAGAACAGTTCTTCGTAGATTTCTTGATTCATAATAAAACGAACATATGCCAATAATAATGCTGCATTATCAGGGAAAGTTGACTCGTCCAGTTGTATAGAGAAATGGGTCGTTTGCAAATAATTAATTACATAAGAAGCTTTCAATATCAGAACTCATTTCATCAATACGTCTTTCAACAGTATCGTTGCTTAAGGGAATTCTTTTAATGATATCAGATGCAGGTTTGTGTAAAACAGTTTTTAAAACCTCTTCAACGGCTGGCAAAATTAACTTCTCTCCGATAGTATGCGGTTTTCCGGAGTTTGCTATAAGTAACGAGATATTGTAAGACGCCCGCAAACCATCATCATTTCTTTGTGACGTCGAAGCGAACATTCTGCCCAGTGTAGGTCTCTTCTGAAATTTATCTTTGAGTGTTTGAAAGTATTTCAAATCTTTCTATGTTTTATCAGGGTGGCATCTTCTCAGATGATCTTGCAGTTTAGATGGCTTCATAGCGTCATTGCCCAAAACTTTGTTGCATAAAAGGCACATAGACGATTGTTTGTCCGGCAATGATGGAATGAAGCCAAATTTCAAATAATCAACACTGTACTGTTTATCATTTCTTTTTAGATTCGGACATGACATCAGTCATCTGTGGGCAAAATTAAATTATTTAAATAAGACAGAAAATCCAGCAGCTCTATATTAAAAATATTTTTTGATTTTTCCGAAAACATTCCATAATTCGAACATCTTCTTGCAACAATTAGCTCGAATTACGGAGATTGCACTGTAATTATATTACCGATTGCTAAAACTTTCAAAAAGAAACTATTGAGGAGTACTCGTGTAATTTTGCATGATTGAATATTTAACTACTAATAACTAAAGTCATGATTGGCGTAATTTATCTATCTTTGCTAACTACGAGTACAAAACTAAAATTTAATAAAAAATAATATACTTACTTTTCTCCAGCACTCTCAAACAAAATAACACTGACTCACTATAATTTGTGTGATATACTATCTGTTTATATTTTTTAAAATATTTTCTTAGCACTTTCCTTTTCAAGATTCAGGAACCGAATAAACGTATTTGTCCCACATTCGTATTTATAGAGTGACTGAGACTGCGACTCAAAGGTTTTTACAAGTTCAAAATGTATTGCGACCACAAAGCGAATACCAACATCCTACAACTTACACAATTTTATAAACATATATAATAAATTTTTTACTTCATAAGTACTTTTATAAATAATGTATATGTTTTGATATTAGAAGATAGTATGATGTAAGTAAATAGGTACTATCAGTGTATGTGTTGAGATCCACTATCGTGGACCCCCATATTCATTTCATGGACCCCCAAATTTTTTTTCGTTGACGTAGACCCCTTGCAGGTTGTCATAGACCCCTAGGGGTCGATATAGACCACTTTGGAAATCAATGCTTTAGAGGTATGATTTTGTTCTAACAACACTGTCGGAACACTAATAGAAAATTAGAGACGATTGATAGTATCGCTTTTGATACTCATGCCTTTTCAGTTAGTAGACCAAGTTGATTAGCCAAAAATCTACCCTGTCCAGAAAAAAATGTAACAAGTCTTACACCTGAATTATATTATTGAGGGTATATGCCAAGATTCCTTATCGAGAGATACAAACTTTTTTATTAATTTCAAAGTTGAAAAAATCACTTTTTCGGATATTTTCAAATAGTTGAGTTGAAACTGTATCCGCCAACGTGTCAGGAAATATTTCATATATACCAGAATACGTAAAAAGTTACACCTCACAATTTTTTATCCATTTCTGCTTGTAGTTGTAGTTGTAGGTCGCTGAAATGTCGATTTTTACGTAAAAGACGTTTTTTCATCTTATATTGTCGTGTAGTTTGTCTCATTCCTGTATGATGTGAAAAATACTAACTCTAACCATAACTTAGATATATACCTATCATAACAGCCACCAAGAATGATTTATATAGCCGTATGGTTATATATTACCCAGGTATGTAAGTAAGATATTTTATTGAATCGGCTAGATTGCTACCTGTTCGATAGTAATTCCTGCGAGTCTGCTAATTAAATAATCAATCAGGGTAATTAATGACTATTATTACATTTTATGCCTTATCAGATCAATAACTTTATACTTCATGCGTAGTGAATTATAGCGAAACATGAAAGTATACCTGTAGGTTCTGACAATATGAATGGCAACTGATACCACTGGATTGAAATCAAGTTTAGCATCGCACCATGTCACTCATATGGCCTAAAGAATTGCATACTGATAACATTTTAAGTGACAGATGTTACGTTTTCAGGACAACCATTTCATTTTTCTAGCAACTTCAGTTGGACATAACATTATTATAGTATACTAAGTGACATATAAATCCGAACACCCAGGTTAAATTGTTTTATTTTAATAAAAGTTGGTGAATGTCTTACTGTAAATAACAAGTGAAAAAATTTTCAGCCTTACCAGTTGGACATTCCGGTTTTTATACTGCTTTTTTTTAATTCACTAACGCTCTAAAAATGAATATTTCAGCCGCAGTAAAGAATCAACGTTGGCGGATTTTGTTTCTTGACATCCTTTACGATCGGTTACGATGCCTAGAGTACGGAGACCTGTACGATTTCGTCAACTTAGTGAGTTTGATAGCGGCCGTATAGTGGGACTGCGGGAAGCTGGACTTTCTTTTCGGGCAATTGCAGTTAGAGTGCAAAGAAGTGTAGACACTGTGGTTAGGTGTTGTCAGGCATGGCTTCGAGAAGGCCGTACGTAAAGAGCAAGGGGCACTGGACGCCGCCGTAGAACAACAGACCGTGAAGATCGCTGCCTAAGATTATTGGCCTTAAGGGACCGTTTCTCCACTATCAGGTCCATTGCAAATGAAAGGTTTGCAGAACACGGAAGACCTATTGGCATGCGCAGTGTTTACCGACGAATGAGAAGTTTTGGCTTGTTTTCATACCGGCCACACTGGGTCCTCCCTTTAACTCGAGAACACCGACGTAATCGCCCTGAGTGGTGCAGACAACGGTCAGTCTGGGATCAGGAATGGAACAGTGTTGTCTTTAGTCACGAGTCTCGATTTTGTTTAGGCATGCACGATGGTCGTGCCAGGGTTAGAAGGTGGCGTGGTGAAAGGAGGAATCCACAGTTTTTTGTTGAAAGACATGTTCATCACACTGTTGGAGTTATGGTTTGGGGTGCTATAGCTTATGGTTCCAGGTCACCTTTAATCTTCATCAGAGGTAACATGAACGCGCAGCGTTATATCCACGAAGTTCTAGAACCCCATCTTTTACCCTATCTTGACACCCTGGCAGATCCAACTTTCCAACAAGATAATGCCCGACCACATGTTGCAAGAGTCACAATAGACTTCTTTCAACATAATGATGTCACATTGTTACCATGGCCACCAAGGTCTCCCGACTTATCCCCAATTGAGCACGTGTGGGATATGATGGGTAGGAGATTGCTCAATTTGCTCAATTTGCAACGTCCTCCTCAGACTCTAGAAGCACTTCGAGAGGAGTTTGTGGTTGCCCTGAATGAGATACCACAGGAGGACATTGACCACCTGATCAGAAGCATGCCTAGGCGCGTTGGAGAATGCGTAGCACATCAGGGCGCATCCACACATTATTAAAGGTCAAAGGGCTTTAAAGCAGTGTAATCATTTTGAAATTTTTATCATTTACTTATTATGCTTCATTAAGTACTATACAAAATTTTATTAAAATAAAACCATTTAAACTGGGTGTTAGGATTCATATGTCACTATATATTATGGCACTGTAAATCTTACACTAAAGAATACGATATTTCACAAATTTGAAAAAAAAATCATAAAAAAGAGCAAAAAATAAGTTAATACCAAAATTTACTTTTTACTGTAAAACCATGGGAAGCAGTTTTTCTAAATTGTAAGTCTAGATACAATCACTGCTATGGATGCATTTTACCCGAAAAAATGTTGTAAAGTTACTTTCCATAGCTTTCCAACATCTACAATGTTCCGAAAGTGGCATAAAATTTTAAAAAATTTATTATATAAAAACTGGTTATGTGTAAAAAATGATCAAGAAATAATGTCTGCTGCACATTGCAGGACTCTAATTCTATCTCTAGATAGAAATAAAACAAATAAATACAAAAAGTAAGTAAAACACTAGATCTCCCCAGGATGTTTATATCATAAATATATAAAATAAACGAATATATTCAGTCTTCAGGATCACTTACGTTACCAAAAGTCAAACTACTATAAAAAGGTTTACATAACTCTGGAACCTTATCCGCCAGGAACAGATTACTTTTGTTTTTCTTAATAATAATAATAATAATAATAGTATTTATTCACTCAATGTACAAAGATAACAAACAATATGAGTAAATAAATTTAAAATCAAAACAGGCCCAATAGAAGACATTGCCTGTACATGGACCAATAATTTTAAGTTGCAACTGTAGAATGCAAATGACAAAAAAGGACAAAAATCAGCTACAGTAGATTATGTATTTACTTGGTGTTCGTATTTATGAGTTATAAATCTTTTAAGTCTTTAGGTACAGTTTCAGAAAATTTTGACGCTAAATAGAGATATGACCGCTGCATTATAGATTTATGCGGCTGAGAAACTACTGTTCCCCGAATTTTGTACCTTGTATAATGATTATGTTTAATTTTTTGGTCGGTGTTTACAAATTTATGGTAGTGAGTGATACTGCGTAAGAAATAAAGCTGTCTTATATCAGTGGGATAAAGTTTCGGTCTTTTAAATATGTGAGGAACATGCAGCTCCCCATGCTAATATACCATATGTGAGATGAGGCTCAATCAGTGCATGGTAAGTGAGGATCCAAGACCACTCCAAGGTATTCTATGTTGGGCACTCTATCAATTTGCATTCTTTGATCATTAATGTTAAAGGAGAAATTTGTATAATTTGGCAG